GATACTAACCCTTTATCTAATTTGTCATTTGCAAATATCTTTTCTCTTTCTGTTGGTTACCTTTTAGTTTTGTTGTTTCCTCTGCAGTGCAGAAGCTTTTTATCTTGATGAGGTCCCAACAAGGGACCTAGGTTTTTCATGCATTTTGAGTTCGTTTTTGTGTATGGTGTAAGAAAGTGGTCTAGTTTCATTCTTCTGTATGTTGCTGTCCAGTTCTCCCAGCACCATTTGCTAAAAAGACTTTTTTCCATTGAATATTCTTTCCTGCTTTGTCAAAAATTAGTTGGCCATACATTTGTGGGTCCAACCCTGGGTTCTCTATTCTATTCCATTGGTGTATGTGTCCATTGGTGTATGGTGCCAATACCATACAGTCTTGATGATTACAGCTTTGTAGTAGAGGCTAAAGTCTGGGATTGTGATGCCTTCCACTTTGGTTTTCTTTCTCAATATTATTTTGGCTATTTGGGGTCTTTTGTGGTTCCATACAAATTTTAGGATTGTTTGTTCTAGCTTTGAGAAAAATGCTGGCACAATTTTGATTGGGATTGCATTAATGTGTAGATTGCTTTGCGTAGTATTGACATTTTAACAATAATTATTCTTCCAACCCATGAGCATGGAATGTTTTTCCATTTCTTTGTGTCTTCTTCAATTTCCTTCATAAGTTTTCTATAGTTTTCAGCATACATATCTTTTACATATTTGATTAGGCTTATTCCTAGGTATTTTATGGTTCTTGGGGCAATTGTAAATGGGATCCATTTCTTGATTTCTCTTTCTGTTGCTTCATTATTGGTGTACAGAAGTGCAACCAATTTCTGTACATTGATTTTGTATCCTGCAACTTTGCTGAATTCATGTATCAGCTCTAGCAGCTTTTTGGTGGTCTTTCAGGTTTTCCATGTTTAACTTCTTCTTTGCCAATGTGGATGCCTTTTATTTCATTTTGTTGTTTGACTGCTGAGGCGAGGACTTCCAACAGTGTGTTAAACAATAGTTATCCACATTATTTAGAATGCCTGACAAGACCAGCCCATGGAAACTCTACCATTCTTCTTTACCTACAGCTCATTCCCTCACTTTTTCTTTTCAAACTCATATAACAATATTGTTTTTGAAAAAACAATTTTATTTTAAAAGTAAAATAAGTGGGCTAATTTTTGTGTAGAAGAAAAAAAAATGCACTTGCTTTAACATGCATCCATGTTATCTTGAAAGTTAGGCAACAAACAGTTCGTTGTGTTTGCCTCTGGGGAGGGAAACTGAGAATCTAGAGGACAGAGCAAGGGAGATTTTCCAAGGTATGCCTCTTTATACCTTAATAACTTATATCAATAAATATAATCTCTATTTAA